TCTTAGCGGGCCCGCGCGCGTTGGGCGCGGGAGGTGCACAAGGGCACGCCACAGCTTATTCACGTCAAGACGCGGCGCAAATACCTTTATTTACATGTATTGTCAAAATACCCTCGCCCAGCGTACGCACAACACGGACGTGCGGCTCGGCTACGCACGGCACGGTTCTGCATGTCGCAGGTCCTCGGCGCTCTGCTGCTGTCTCAGCTTTACGAGGGGCAGTGGGGATGATAAGGGCCGGTCCTTCATTCTTCTGACTCTCGCTGTCTGACCGAAGGAAACAACCGTGACGACCCGTGCAGAGGTCCGGCGTATGCAGGAATTCAGCCAAACCGTTGGAGATATCGATCTCAGATTTTGATACTAGGTAGATAAAGGATGTGGCTACAGCGTACCAGAGCCCTTTTTCACAAAAAGCGCCCACGAAGAAATCTGTTGTGGCCGAGTCAAGGGGTTCATTGTAGGCAATACAGGCAATGTCGGAGGCAAACGAATAGGTTCGACATCGAGATTAGTCCTTCAAGGACCCACCTGCCAAATTTGGATTTTTTCGGTGCACGGGTTTTTGAGAAACAATGTGAGAAGTCTTCCCGTGCAAGGCTTTGCGAGCGCCGCGCGGAGCCCGCCAGCGCGCTGGACGGGCCGGGCGGGACTTTAGCCTCCTCTTATGGCCGCAAAATTTACCTACTTAGCAGAGCCGGAGTTTATTGACAATCTGTGCGAGGGCGGTGACAGCGTACCTGGCCTGCTTGAGGATGGAGGCGGGCTGGCGGCGCGTGGGGGAGGCGGACGCGGGGCGCGGCCGGGCAGGCGGCCGCCCGGGAGAGCGCACCCGCTCCACGTCCAGGGCCGACATGGACCGGCTGAGGGGCGGCTCCGGCTCGGGCTCAGGGTACTGGTGCGCCACCCAGCGGCAGCCCAGGAAGGGGGCGATGTCGCGGAGCTCGTGCACGTCCGGCGTCGACGTGAACATCTGCCCGAGCAGGGAGAGCTCCGACTCGAACTTGCTGCGCAGCCGGTCGACGTGGCCCGTGTGCACGCGGTCGGCCTCGGCGGCGGCTTCCTTGACGGGAGCGGCGCCTGGGGCGGTGCGGCGCTGGAGGCTGGCCGTCTTGCTGATGACGTTGATGTGCGGCATGAAGCGGTCCTCGAGCGGCCGACGGGGCACCGGCGACGACGCCGTCCTCTTGGCGGCGCGGCCCGCCTCGTAGCGCCGCCGCAGCCAGTCCACGTCGCCGGCTTCGTGGCCGCGCACCACCACCTGGTGGTCGGGGTGCGGGCGGCCGGCACGCGCCAGGTCCGGGTCGCTGCGGCACGCCCTGGCCATGCGCGCCCGGGCACGCGCCTCACCCGCACGCACGCACATGTACGTGAGGTCGTCCAGGCTCTCGAAGCGGTCCGCCAGGCGGCGCACGTCGCCGCCCTTCACCATGCGGATGTAGGCGCGGTAGTACTTGGTGGGGTCGGGCGAGGCGGTGGGCGACAGCAGGCTCTCCAGGCTGGCGGAGCGCGGGTGGCGCGGCGGGGGCGGCCGGGCCCGCGGGGCCGCCGGGGCCGTGAGGGCCGCCGCGTACTGCCTGCCCGCGGCGCTCTCGCCGAACAGCTCCCGCAGGTCGGACTGTGAGCTCGACAGCCGGCTCGTACCAGGGGACGACGCCGATGCAGCCGACGATGCAGGCCGCCTATCGATCAGGTCGGTGCGCTCGGCCGAGCTGGCCCGGCTGCTCTCCAAGGCCGCTGGCGCCGCGGTGGGGCCGGCGGGGCCCGCGGCCACGGGAGGCGCGACGGCGCCCAGCGAGGGCGGCCCGCTGCTCTCCATGCTCTCGAAGTACTCCACCTTGCTCTGGACGGCGGCCGTGCCCGGCCCCGAGCCCGGCGCCGAGCTCGTGTCGACCCGGATGACGGTGCGCGTGGACGCCGTGGAGCTCGCGCTCTCGGTCTCGCTGGCCGACACGGCGCGGGCCTCCTGCTCCGCGGGCCTGCTGACCTCCTTGACCTGCTTGCGCGTCTGCTGCGGAAGCGGCGGCGGTGGCGGCGGCAGCGGTGGCGGTGGCAGCGCGGCAGCGGCGGGCGGAGCGTCGAGGACGAGCAGCAGGTCGTGGCCATGGCCGTGGTCGGACAGCTCGAGCGAGTAACAGGTCCGCGGGGACGACGGCGTCCACTTGCCGACTACCTTGGCGTCGGCGGCGGCCTGCGCGCCCAGGGTCTCCCTCGGCGACATGACGCTGCGCGCGCGCCGCCGGCTCATGACTTCCTGGCAGAGGGTGCGCGACAGGCGCTTCTTCTCGGCCTCGCTGAGCACCTGGCCGACGGCCGGCGCCACCCTGCTCGTCCGAGGCTGGGAGTCGTCCTCGTCGCGCCACACGGACAGCGAGCCGATCGAGTCTGCCTTGAGGCTCTCGGCGCGCCGCAGCTGCCGGCGCATCAGGATCTCGGCGTACAGGTCCTCGCTGCTGACCAGCGAGTTGCTGCGGACGTACAGGTGCCCGGGGTCGTGCGCCTCCTCGCTCACCGTCACCTCGCAGGCGGACGCGCGCGGCGCCGCCCGACGCCCGGGGCAGCCGCTGTAGATCTCGCTCAGCTGGTTCTTGAGCGCGTTGACCTGCTCCAGCGACAGGCTGCTCCACAGGCGGTTGCCGATGCCGCCCACCTGCTCGTGCCGGCTCAGGTGCTTCCGGTCCAGCGACCGCGACACGAACTCGCCGACGACCGGGCGGCCGCGGTGCGAGGCCGTGGTGCGCTTGAGGCTGTTGGCCAGGTTGACGACAGAGTTGCCCCGCCACAGTGGCTTGTAGACGTCGTGGCCCGGCGGGCCGCGCCGCGACGGCGACGCGTCCTCGGTGCTCAGGCGGCGGAAGTGCGTGCGCAGGTCCTCGACGGAGCGGTCCTTCACGCGGAGCCCGCGGTCGCCCTTCCAGCGCACCACGTCCTTGGTACTGAACAGCAGGTCCTTGCTGCGCTGGTCCTCGCGTAGGCGGCGGTAGATGTGCTGCAGCTCCTCCTCGGCGCGCTCCTTGGTGCGGACGCTGCGCCACCGGTCGTAGTCGATGATCTCCTCGTTGCGGAGCCGAGGCCGCAGGTCACCCGTCGACGCCGTCCTCTCGAGCTGCCCCATGCGCTCCAGCTTGGAGTAGAACTCGTTGAGCTCGCGGAAGCGCTCCGACTTCTTGGTGGAGTGCACCAGCTCCAGCACGTAGGCCTGGTAGTCCTGGTGCTCGGCCTTGACGGCGTCCGTCGAGCTGAGGCTCAGGCTGCGGCGCTTGGGCTCGTCAGAGCTGCGCGCGGCCACTCGCACGCCCTGGACGCCCTCCACCGGGGCGGGCGCCGGTCGGCGCGAAGAGCGCGCGCCCTGGATGCGGCGGTGCGACGGCGACCTGCTGAGTGTCGACGACCGCGAGCTCGCCTTGTCCGCGGGCAGTGGCGGCGGAGGCGGCCCGGGGGTGGCGGCGGGAGGCTCGCTCGCGCTGCGGCACCCCCTCTCTTCAGACTCGAAGCGCTGCACCATGGAGTAGAAGTCGTGGTCGCGGTCCGTGAGCACGGCCCGGGTCGGCGGGCTCGAGGAGCGTGAGTGCCGCAGCCTGTCCAGGCTCCGGAAGCGCGACTCGGACACGGGCTTCTTCTGCTGCAGGTAGACGTCGAGCGACGGCTCCGACCGGAAGGACGCCGGGCGCCGGACGGGCGGAGGACCCTCGGCGCCGAACACCCGGGCCCGCTCGGCCACGGACAAGCTCCGGCCGACGGAGGCCATGTCGCGCAGGAAGAGGTGCTCGAAGAAGTGGCTAGAACCCGGGGGCCCGGACGCAGGCCAGTGGCGCACGGCGGGCTGCGCAGGCCTACTCGTCGTGGTCCTGGGCGGGCTCGGCCGTGGGGGGCTCGGCCTGCAGGGCGCGCGGATGCTGTCGACCAGCGACAGATGCCGGCCGGCGGGCCGCAGAGGGGCGGGCCTCGGAGAGCTGACCGTCGTTCTTGGGGACCTCAGCGGTGAGGCCTGCGCGGCTCTCGGGAGCGTGGGGACAGCGCCGAGGGCAGCCCGCTTGGATGCGATGACCCTGGGCGAGGGGTCGGCGCCGGAGAACACGAGCGCCTCCGGGCGGGGCCGCTTGCTGCGCCTGCGGACCCCGGCGTCGTCCTGGGCGGCGCCGGTGCCGGACGCGGACCTGCGCGTGATGGTCACGGGCTCGGCCGGGTAGCCGTCGTGCCGGCCCGTCTTGGAGCCCGGGCGCCGCGCCTCGCACAGGACGGCGTCCCTCAGCGAGGTCGACGTGGACGCGGTGGACGCCCGCGACGAGCGGCCGGGCTGGGGGGACGACTTGGGCTGCCGCGACGAGATCGCGACGGTGACCTTGACCCTGTCCGCGGCCCTGGCGTCCCGGTCCTCGGCCTTGCGCAGCACCCTGCGCACGGCGGACGGCGCGGCCAGGGGTGGCGACAGTCGGAGCGGCTCCCGCGGCTTGGGCTTGGGGGTCTTCGCCTTGGCCGGGGCGGCCTTGCGCCGGGCCTTGGGCTCCGCCGCCTTGCTGCTAACGGTCTTGGGGGCGGCCGCCGGTTCCTCGGGCACGCCCAGCTTGGCCGAGAGCCGGTCGCGGAGGTAGCGGACGTGCGAGTCGGCGGTGGACGCGGACGCGGACCGGTTCATCCTGAGGCGCAAGGTGGAGCCGCGTGAGGACGAGCGGCGGCGGGGCGCCAGGGGGG